TAATAGAATTTATATTAAAATATTTCCTATTGTATGAAGTTTCAAAATATATAAATAAAATTTGAAATTATTTTTTTTTAAAAAATTTTATTAACTAATATTTGAGATATCCATCTTTTTGCACCGGCCTATAATCAGTTTTATTATAACTGCTTGTATCCAATTAATCGGTTTTATTATAACCAGTTATATTCGATTAATTAGTTTTACTATAGACTAGTTATACAGTGCATATTATCTAAAGACATCCAAAATCATAACTCCTCAATAAATATTTAAAAATTTTTTTAAAAAAAATATAATATTGTAGTCCTATATAAGTTCTATAAAGTTACATCTTTTTTTTTGCAAATTTGGACTTATTCATTGAGAAGATGCGATTTAAAAAAAACATAACACAATTTTAATGTGCTTTATATAGTGAAAGCGATCATGTTATTGCCATGTAAGGATAGATTATACAAACAGCTATTTATAAATTCTCAACGGTATTACAAAAAAAAAATTAGATTTCTAAAATAGTTTCTAAAATTTCATCTTTTTTTTGTTGAGCATACGTATACATACATAAAATTTGCGAATGAAATAAAATTTCTTTATATGTATTTAGATGCTGAATTAGTTCATTAATGCAAATAAACATTCCAAATTTAAGAGAATATTAAACAATGAAGAGTATCTTCGGTTAATTATAATAAGTTCAGAAATGTTTAGCGAGAGATAAAGGAGGATTTGCAACCATATATTATGCACATTAGAGCGATAATATAGAATTATAAGCATTACACTTAATTGATAGTTCTCCAGTCAACTGAAGAATGATTATATTACATAGTAAAAGAGAGGTTTTTTAAAAATATCTCAGCACCCACCAGGCTGATTTTGACGTTCTAACTACCATTAGATGCGTTTTGATAAGCTTTACAAAAGTCTCTTAAGCACTAAAGGTGATTAACTTAGTATGAAAAAAGTTTACCTTGGGTGATCACCAAATTCACACTATAATAAATTTATATAGTAATCTGAGTCACATTTTACTATGATTATTCTTTAGCTGACTAGTGGATCATCAATTAAGTTTTTTTTTTATTTTAATAAATTTTTTAATAGTACTAACTAACTTGATACATTTATTTGTATCTTCTTGTTGAAGTAAGTAAGTATGGATATTCTTCAAACTTTTTAAAGCTACATTCAGGCTTATAATCTCTTTTTCAATGCTATCATCTGCCATTTCTTGATTTTTATTATACTCAGCATCAGTTCTTCTAAATGTCTCAATAAGATTTATAATAATTTCATCCTTATTAGGAACTTTATATACGATATTCTCTTCAGGAATAGCTAGATATTCTTCTATATATATTGCATCAGGAAAATTAAGATTATTAAGATTTTGAGAAAGCACTTCAAGTAATGGTGTTTCAATTAATAGTTCATTAAACAATGGTACTTCAAATAGTAATTCATTAACAGGAAATATACATGTATAATACTAGCAGTTTTGGATTGTTTGAACTGTAACTTTATTCCAACCTTAAACAATAATCAAATTTAAATTAAAATAATAGAGAAAACATTGCATATTAAATTTTAAACTAATCTTGAATAACATATATAATTTCTTTTAGAATAATATAACAAAAATAATATTTAACTATAATAGAAAATCAAATAATATAATAGCAAAAAAAAATATAGAAAATAACCTTGTAAGATATTCATTTTTAAATCTTGTACATATTTACTATCTTCAACTTGTTCTAATATCCACCTGATATGATAATGACGATAATTTCTTTTAAAGGACATAATTATTCCTGTATCTATAGGTTGAATTCTTGAGGTTGTATATAAAGGTAGAAAGCAAACATTAACATTTTTAAGAAATATGCTACCTGGTTTGTAACTTGAACATTGATCAAGAATTAACAATACAGATTGGTCTCTATGTTTTTTTGTCATTTGAAAATCAAAATCACACAACCATTCTTGAAAAAGTGTTGTTAACATCTATACCTTAGCACTATTACGGTATGTTATTTTTAGATTTGAAATTTTAATATTTTTAAAACATCTTGGTTTAGCATATTTTCCAATAATTAGAGGATTTAATTTATGTGACCCATCAGCATTTGCACATAATGCAACTGTGATATGCTCTTTATCTTTTTTATATCCAGAAAGACGTTGTGTAGCTAGTAAATAATCTGGTTCTAATTGATAAAAAAGTGCAGTTTCATCTATATTGTATATTCGTTCAAGAGGATAATCACTATACTTATTTCGTAATAATAGAAGTTCTCTAATAATAATATTTTCATTAACTGATCCATCTTCTCCATACAACTTTTCACGACCAATTCTATTACGTTCTTTAAACTTCTGAAGCCAACCCAAAGAAAAATTTAATATGCCCACAGGAACTCCTAATCTATTAGCAAGTAGTTTTGCTTTCTCAATTAATATTAAATCACTTAAAACTGTCTTGTGTTGGTAGGTTAATACAAACTCTTTAAGAGCCATTTCAAGTTCAGAAACAGTAATGGATCAATTTCTTTTTTTGTTTGGATTAAGTATTTCACTGGTAAGTCATTGATCTTTTGTTTGCAGAATTCGTGTTATTGTAGATTTATAAACTCTAATGCTCTATTTTTGTTCAATCCAATCTATATATTTTGCACAAGTCATTTTATTTTCATAAGCATAAAGGCAAAATTCTCGCTTTTGAGCATCAATTAGAGAAGTTTTTGATTTAGAAAACATTTTAAAATAAGAACTATAAAAGTAAACTAAAAAAAGCTTTTTAATATTAACCAAGTGAAGATAAATTTTATTAATATAATTTTTTACATGCTTTTATAATTTTTTACAGCTCTTTGATTATATTCGATTTTATCTACGAATCTAATAAAGAATTTTAAATTCTCATAGTAATTGTGGCTTAGAGATTTTAAAAGAAAGTTTTCATCATATCTTTTCTATTTTTGTCTATTTTATTCGTATTAATTATTTTTTTCACATGAATTTAAAAGACATAAAGATTTATTCTATATTTTTACATGTTCTTAGATATGGCTTTGCTCATTTTGGTATTATTAATTTCTTTGTACTTAAAAATTTTTATTTACTATGAACTCTATTACTTTACTCTTTGGGTTAATCACTAAAACCAAATTAAGGTCAAAAATACAAGAGTAAAGTAATTGTCATACAGTTATTTTTAGCTGCTTTAAAAAAGTTAAAAATTATTGTATATACCAACCAACAAAGCTTTAGATTCAATTAATAATAATAAGGCTCAAATTTAAAATCAGGAAATCTTACTTATTTTTCTGATTCATAATTTGATATAGTAAAAATACTATTACTTATTTTCTATATTACTTGTTAATTTTGAAACCTTTCAATCATATGATTGTGCTATAACTTAAGAACTATTATTAAAAGCCTGTATAGGATGATCAATAATCATATTCTTGATCAGTACATATAATCAAATTAAGTAAAACATGCATAATAGAATGATCAACACATATTACCAAATTCAGAATAAATCAAGATCAAAAGCCAAGGTTTTAGATGGATATGAAATAGAAGAAGCTAAGGATAATAAGAGGTGAGAAATAGCAAAGAAAACTGGTAGATACACTAATTTAGTTATTCTTAAAAATGTAGATACAAAACAATTAATATAAATTTAGAGTAGTATCTGGAAAGAACCAAGGATTATAATAAAGCACCTGCTAAATAAATAGTTTAGTGACAAATAGTTAAGTAGTAAATATAAAAAAAATGCATTAACTAAATCTAATAATTAAGTAAATCGTGCCTCTTTTAATGACTTAAATATCAAATCATGTGAAAGTGCATTTATAGATATTTATTTATATAACAGGGTAAAAAATTTTTATGCATGTGCAGAGTATATAGTGTGCATTTTCCATTAAGTCCCAAGCATGGACCAGGTATATAAGTGCATTTAAAGAGGGAGTGCACTTATAGAGGGTGTATTTAAAGAGGTTTATTTGTATTTAATAAAATGTTATGTAATTACATTATGCCATTATAGTATTGCAATTATAGTATTGCAATGAAATATACTATATTGTATTACAGCATTATAAAATTATTCATTTTAGATTACTACTCATATTATGACCTACGTCATTATTTAATACTTATGACTTCTATTACAACCTGCAAAACATACTACTTATATTATGACTTACGTTAATACTACAAAAGTTGCAATTTTAGTAGTAAAAGTTGCAACTTTGTTATCTCAAAATGTTTGCACCTCTAGTCTATCTATAGATATCCAAGATTCCCTGTACCCATGGTGTTTTACTTTTATATTTGTTTTTTTATTATTTCGCTGCTAAAAGAGTTGAACTAGCAATTTCATAATTTGTAACCTGGGAGCATAACTGTTATGCTATCAACTCACAGATTAAATAACCTTTTATTAATAAGTTTTTTATTATATATTCCAATACAAAAAATTAATTTACATTACTAAATATATAACAAAAAAGCTATTAAAAAGTTTATTAAAATTTAAAAATAAGTAAAAAATAATAGAAGGTTTTTGATTTGAAAATCACATTATAAAACATAGTAAATTATATGTTGTATAATGTAATTTTCAAGGCAAAAACTCTATATATTAAACAATTTTAATAGTAAGTAAAATCAGATTTATTTGAAAAAACTTAATTTTTTTGGTTATTAAAAATTACTATATTTATCAAATATTAATAAATAAAAAAAATAAAATAAAATAACAAAAAATAAATAAATATAATTTATACAAAATTTTGTTTTTTTAAAAATATTACTGTAATAGTTTAAAATTCTGTTTATAAATCTATTTTTAGTTTTAATAAAAAATTTTTTTATAGAAGTCTTTTATATATTATATTAACTTCTAACTACTAAATTAATATTTGTTACATTTATTTTTATTTTATTTTTTGGTTTATTATTATTTTATTAATAATCTTTACATTATACACATACTTGTATTAAATACAATAGATGTGTTTAGTATTATTGTAATTTAAATAATATATAAAACCATACAGCACTATATATATATACTGTACTGTATAAAAATTTTTAAAAAATTGATCTACGTTATTTTTATGTCTGTTACACTAGATGGCTTGTGCGCAGGGACGATGATTTTCTGCGGCAATTAAACTCAAATTCTGCGGTGATTAAATTTAATTTCTGCGATTATCTGCAAATTAAAATTTTTGCAAATTTTTGCAATAAAAACCCTGTTTCTGCACTCAAAATTTGGTTTAATACTAATGTTCCGAAGCTTTCCGACGACCACGCTCGTATTTTGTGTTAATTGATTGTCTATACTTCCGAAGCTCTCCACCAAAACTCGCAATTTGATTGGATCCCGGTCAAACTTTAGGTCGATTCTGCAATTATCCTTGATAAAATCCAATTTCTGCAAAAATGCGTGAATTCTGCAAATTCTGCGGTATCCTGCATTTTGCAGAAAATCATCGTCCCTGCTTGTGCGGCAATTTTGTCATGTACGATTGTGTAATATTTAATCACGTTAGTAAAGATTGACAACCTGTCCAATAATAGGGACAGTTCAATCACGTGATATTATATAAAATCCATCTACCACAACGTAATCTCATCTGTCCCTAAGCACTGCCCGTATAAGAATTTATTTCAGCGATGGCAACATTAAAGACTTCTTTTGAGCCCAGCGGAGATTTTATAATTCAGAATGCCTAAAGCACTAAAATTTACTAATTAATAATCAAGATATATTTGTTCGAAGTTTATCCTTGTATTAGATCAACACACGCGATTTCACTACGAAAAGGTTTCTACTTTTATTTAATATACATGAAAAACTGGATATCGTTTGTACAGTTTTGCGGAACATTTTAAATGATACCGGCAGCAACCAAACAAAAAAAAAACCAATAATAGAACAACCCTTTTTATAGGCTACTTGCTACGAATTTCTTATTCCAGTTTAAAATAAATATTTATCTAGCTCCGTATATCGAGCTTTAATTCCATTTATTTTTTACAAATTTTGCGATGTCTAACACGAAAAATTGTAAATTCTACGATTACAGCGAAAGGAAAATTTTCTGTACAAATATTAAAATCCAAAGATTAGCATAAAAATGATTTATATCGGCTTTATTAAAAGTGCGAAATTTTGGTTTATAACACGTAACTACAACATTAGTAAATTTTTTTCCGTTCATCTTGTGTCACACAGCTACGCGAAAATCATATCACGTGACTATTGATCAAGTTGTTAATTTTTATTAATGAAAAAACTCTTAGTATAAAGCTTCCGAAACAGAAATTTTGTCTTAGAAAAACAGGGCAAAAAAAAATTCTATACATAATACGTTTAAACTCACCTCATCCCCTCCCTCAGACCTAAATTTCTGGTTGAGTCACATGACACAAGATCGAGATTTTCATAGAATTTACTGGAGAGAAAAAGTAGAATATGATTTTTTGCAATTATCACATACAAATTTTCTGTAAAGGTAAAAAATCTTTATGAAATAAGGAAACCTCCACGTGATAACCATATCTTGCCGAGCTTTCTTCATTTATCATTTTAATTTCATTCGGGCTGCAATGCCATTACCTGACCCACCTATGGGTGACATGATTTGCTTGAACTGGGTCCGCTCAATACATTATTATATTATAAATATACGTATTGTATCAAAAATACAGGCCTATATATAAACAGTGCATCACCAAAATCATAGATTTCAATACCATTATCTCTGTCGATTATAACAACGTATTAAAAATAACCAAAATGCTATATTAAAAAAAATAAATAATAAATAGAACACTTATAACCATTTATAAAGAGTACCGAATAAGATAAAATAATGAAAGGAAGATGAAAAATTCAAACTATATAAAAATTCAATAATACTACGAATGTATGTATGTTTACACTGGTGAGTTTAATGATTCTGATAAGCTTACAAAGAATAACCTTTCCCTTAAACAATGTTGACATCAAATGAAGCTGAAAGATTTCTCTAATTTTTTATGATAACGTAATAAATTATAAATAATTTTGTAATATTTTTTTTTGGTTCATTCTCGAAACAAAACTATAAAATTCGTTGGTAAAGCAATTTTGGGTATCTTTAGCTAATTCACAACACACCGCATAATCGAGCCATAGTTCAAATACACGTACGTACGTATGTACTACTAAGCCAAATATCGTTACACTGTTTCAAACCAATACCAATGCATTTTGTATGATTTAACTAATAACAATTATACTTGGATTGACTCGACAAATAAATTACTTAAAAGAGTTAGATGTCTGAAAATTAGTATAACTTTTATTTATTTCATCCATTCCTTCTTTTTTTTTTTAAATCATAATAAATCCAAATCTGACCATATTAAAAATTTTTTCAGACACATTTCTATGGTTTTTTTTTCTTTTTCTTTTTTCTTTTAGATGCAACACGATAGATCATGTACTAAATACGTAATTTTACGTACTAGTACAAGAAAGATATTTGATTTGGTTGGTCAATTTCCTTTTTTGCTAAAATGTGCAATGTGGCGGTTCACAATGACGTACAAATTTAACTCTTCTACTAAGTCTATATAAAGAACTTCAAGGTGTGATTTATTCGATATTTTTTTAAAGATGGATTATTCAAAAATTCATAAATTTGATTAAGGTCTCCTTATAATAATTTCCATCCATCGAACAATTTATTTGATTAATTTAGGCTTCAGTATAAAATTTATACTTAAAAGACTCATGGGTAAGCAAATTTATAATCATCATCAAGGAGAAAAAGAATTATCAAGGCTAATAATCGATTGACATCTGATGAAATTAATTTCTTTAGATTTTGGTATTATTCGCAGTTGCTCAATAAAAGGAAAGCTAGATACATTTTACGTTAAAAATTCAAATGGACTGGTTTCAATAGACGAGGATTAAAAATAACATTTATCAATTCGATAAAGTGGTAATTGTATTTAGAGTTAACATTTTTTTAAAATTTTTAAATTGAAATAATTATTCATGAGCGAATAACAATTCTAACCAATTCGTGTATGTACATATCATATAGCTGGAGGTGGATATTAAGAGTTACAACCATTTTAGGATAGAATTCTTGTTAACTTAAAAACGGGTGATGATGATTTTTTAATTATATTCGATCAAGTCAATGCACACATCTGGTAGGAAGTTAGCCAGCGACATATAAATAGGGCATAGTCTTCCCGTAGCGAGTTCTAAGATTTTCTTTCGGTTGTATAAATAAGGAAGTCGAATTTATATTGTTATCTAGATTTAGCAAATTAGATAAATAGACATCCAAGTCCATGGTAGTGGTCGAGGATTTAGCAGTACTGTATAGATCTACAGATTAATCACATTAAGCAAGTCAATTAAGGGATTCATTGATACAAGCCGACCTATGAGAAGATCACCTTTAAGGGAATTTTGATCAATTCTAACATTCTTAAGTAAAGTATTTTTAATAGTTTGAGAATTTAATAGAACTTAATTTGTTCTTCTTTAACTGTTCAGTATAGCGTATCTAGCTCCTAAAGAATCTCAAAGTGTCGTATTTACGAATAATATCGATAAAAATAGGGAATCAGTCAGGAAAATCGATAATTTCAGAAAGTTCTATTTGCGAAATATTGTGGTGAATCTTCTAGCGAAAGTTCTTTCGTTATTGGTATGAAGAAAATTTTTTGAATTTGTCCGGATAATTTTTTTTAAAAAATTATAGTTATTAATATTTCAGAGTGACTTATTTTTTAGAGATGCAAGATATTGATTCGAAAGAATCAAAATCATAACTTTGAAAAGAATGTAAATCAAACGTTGACGACATGTTCCATTAAAGATGCCATAGGTATAACTAGTGACTCATTCAAAGCTATTCAAGCCATTACTACGACTTTTGCTTAACTTGTCAGTACATGAGAAACCGATGCAGTAATCTTTTAATGGGTCTATTAAGCTTATTCCAACCTTGACCAAAATAAATTACGTCAGAATTTTAAATGAATTCAGTTCACAAGAAGAGCTAGGTATTTGCCAACGCTACTTATCTTAAATGAGTACAGGATTTCAGGAATGTTTTTGGAAGAAAATATGCAGTACCTTGTACTAGATTCGTATTCAAATGGATGGCAGAATTAAAATAAAAATTTTGATGATAATTCAAATCCTTTATTTAAACTTTGATGAAAATAGTTCTTCTTGACTCCTAAATTCGTCAGTCACCATGTAACTAAATGGGATTTTTTTTTATTTGGTTTGGTTTGTTTTCGATGAGTCTCGCAAAGCTTACAAAACAGAGCAAAAAAGGGAAGAAGTATGACCAGAGAACTTAGAACTTGACCATATAATTAATGTAGTCCTTGAAATTTACTTTTATAATAGAGATTCCATGTTTTATGAAAACAAGTCTGAAAAAATAAACCAAAATTTGAGAACAGGATTATACAAGACACGATATGAATAATGACAACAAAGTTTTTATCATGTAGTCTTTTTTGGTATGTCCTATAATTTCGGACGAGCGGTCTAGACCGATCATCTGCATAGGTTTGTTTTTTTTTTATAATCAAAATTGGGTACGTACATATTTATTTCACTTTGTTTCACAACGCATTGTTTTTTCCTTCCTTAGCCCAGCTTATATTTCGTTTCACTAAAGTCGAAAGTGTGAAATCAATTTTAAAAAATTTTTTTTTTAAAAAACAAACGATTCAAATCATTCTGATTAAATTTATTATTTCCTATATAGTCTTAGATGAAAATTTGACCAGGGTCGATCGTTGATTGGCTGAATTATACTACAACTGTTTAAATAAATGTAATTAACGTTCCGTTACATGTGTCGAAAATAATCAGTAAATCCGTACAGTAAAATTAATTTTTGCTTTGTATGATTTCCTCAAAATATGTAAATTTATTAATATATAATTCTATTCCTATGGTACAGCTTCGTCGACAAACGCGCTATTCATCTACGTTCAACACTCTCACAAATTCTGGGATGAATTAAAAAATTGTTATTTCCAAGATCTCTTCGGTCTAGCCCTAAGAATTATAAAATTCATCGAAAACTGCGTCGTTATCTTTTGAACTTCGCGATATAATAAAAATAAGGTCGAAGGAGTTTTAGGATGAGAAAATTTTTGGTTTATGAGAACAGCCATATATGTCCGTGAAGTATTTGTTAAACTTGCGAAATGATTGTGAGTGAACTGGTGCTGGTAAAATGATTGTTAGCGAACCAATCAAATTCGAGTTATTTTGCACTATTCAATTCCTTACATTATGAGAAATTGAATAGGGTAAAAAGTCACTGAATATAATTATTTAATCACGAGATATGGTAGAAAGTATTGCGACGCACAATGCCGAACGGTCAGCCACATCACCATACTCTGTAAATCATCAGACTCTACATCGGAATGGACCGAGCTCTAATATCAGTGATGGTGTTGTAGAAAGTATTGCGACGCATAGTGCCGAACGGTCAGTCACATCACCATACTCTGTAAATCATCAGACTCTACATCGGAGTGGACCGAGCTCTAATATCAGCGATGGTGTTATAGGCTGAATTGTTAAATCTCAACGCACTGAACATATTATTTAATCACGAGATATGGTAGAAAGTATTGCGACGCATAGTGCCGAACGGTCAGCCACATCACCATACTCTGTAATTCATCAGGCTCTACATCGGAGTGGACCGAGTTCTAATATCGGCTATGGTGTTATAGGCTTAATTGTTAAATCCTCAACGCACTAAAGATCCCAAAGAATTCACGCAATGCCCATAATACCGAACGGTCTCGGAGATTAAGACGTTCCCGGTTTGGTCGATACGAGAAGTACTTTTTTTTTTTCTTACCTTCAAATTTTCTTTTTATTATAATTCCATTTGATTTTTCAGCCCTATAAAAGTATCAGAGTTTCGTGTTCAGTAATACACGACTCTCTTTCATCTTCTCGATCACGTGATCAGTAGTAATCAGACTTCAATCTAATAACTCTTATTAAGTTGGAAGCTAGGTAGTTTCAAGAACAGCTATCATTCTTAATATCACGTGGCATGCATTTGGCCTGAGTTACGGTGAATGCTAGTAGCAAACAAATTACGTCATTATTACTTCATACGTGATACAAGATACCAAGTTGCTATAACGTCCATGAGGTATTAATTTAATATAAATTAAGGGGTAAATTCGAACTCGAGATCGAGATCTCATTTTTTATATTTTTTAAGAATAGCGTGTCTAAAAATCCGAAAGTCGTTACAACAAAAATGAACGCGAAAGTTTTCATAATTTTTAGGAGTTTCAGGATCTTGCAAAATTAATCATTAAAGGTATAAAAACGTTGGTATTGTCGTGCTTGAAGTTAGTATATTTTCGAAGTTACAACTCCTAATATCTGAAGTTGCACCTGCCTAAAATTTCTGAGGCACGTAAAAAGATATAATTTTAGGGCCAATTTTCAGTCAGTGCAACTCTAAGTGCCTGAAGTTTCAACTTCGAGCTGATGCTAACTTCAAGCACGATAGTATTACGAATATTGTTATTATGGTATGTTACAATATATTGCAATATATCGTTAATGGTACTAATGATGATCTAACTAATTAAAGAATAAGAATTCTAAATATAGAATTCTTTTACTTTTGATTGGATTATAAAAGTCCGCACCCTGTTGTGTAAGTAATTCATTTTACAGAGCTCAATAATAAAAATTGAATACGTCACCACTATTATGTCAGCTAACATTTTTTCCCTTCACAATGGATATGATGATGAACCGCAATAAATATTGAGATATGGTCCGGTGGTTTGGTTTGGACACAATTGTGTTATTCGATTGGATAAGGTCTCTTATCAATATACTCATTACGTTATAAAAAAAACACTAATTTCACTTTTTTGGAATTGGTTGTGTAGGACCATTTTATATTTGTTACACGTAGTACTCATCACTACGCATAATCTCGATTCAAATAAAATATTGCCGATACAGAATTAAGTGAAGCGACTTTCAACTCTTAAAAATCAGGATCGATTTTTCAGTTGAGAAATAACCTTCAACATAAGATGAAAATCTAATTTCAAGTTCAGACTTTGAATTTCACGGTTGTTCATCCTTATATCTGGTATGGGAAATTTAAAATTTATTAGAGTCAACTTAGGAAGTGCGAAATTATTATAAAGTATTAATTACAATAATTATTTATTAATAATCAATTTTTTATTTTCATTAGTTGTATAAATATATAATCTGATTATATGTCCTGAAAAAATCAACGCTTTAATTGAGATAAAGTATTCACAAGATAATAGGTATACTATTTGAAAATTTAAGCGCTTTAGCTAAAATTTGGTTAATTTGAATAATTAAAGGTTTACTTTCTATAAGCCCAATAGGAAATTTGACATTTCTCACTGTAAATGGGAAATTTAATCCCTACTATAGGTCCTGTGCAATCCATGTGCGCTAAAGTCAATTAAATAAGTGCCAGGAATCAGCTGACTTCTTGTCGATTATAAAGAATACGTAATGAAGTTACATCGATAAAATTGAATTCCAAAAAATTCATGAGGGTTAGCTGACAAATTTAAATTCCGAAAGTTCATGAGGGTTATGTCGACAAACCAAAATTCCGAAACACGGAAATTATGCGATTTGTTTTAGTGCGATTTTTAACAATTCACAATTCACAATTCACATAATTATTGGTTATTTTATATTAATTTTGTGTAACTGGTAGCTATCTGGGTTACGATGACAAATTGAAATTTTGATACATCAGCGTTCCATAAAATATAGCTTTAGACTCTTCCATTGTAAGACAAATATAGGTAAAGGATCTTGACTATTTTTGTGATTTATTACTAATTAAGTTGTCAGAACTTGAATTTCCAGGATTTCGTAATGAACCAAAGGGTGTCTAATTAGATCATTTATTTTAATTGGTTATAAATATGTGGCTGATTTTTATTTTACCATACCTACCCTAAAAAGATAATGAATTTCCAAATTTCTGGTTAAAGTATTCGCAAAATAACAGGTATGTATAATTTATCTGATAAATTAGCGGATAAAATCCAGTATAGGTGACACCTACTTTAAATCAATTGATTAATTATTAAGGTGTCACCTATACTATATTATCCTGATTAGCATTTTAGCTAAAATTTGATTATATATACATTCTACGAATTGCACATTTCTAAGCAGAATCACAACGAATAAACAAAATATTAGCCGATTATCAGGGCAGATTTTTTCAATGGTTGCCAAGCTTTAAGCATTCACCAAAAAAGATGAAGGAGTCTTATATTAAAAGATAATTTTCTGTGATCATTTATAAGCATTCATTGTTGGAAGCATATGGAAACTTTAGATCATGGTCACATATAATCAAAAAGTTCTTTTTCCTTATTTCAAATATGTGATTTATGAGTTTATTTCAAAAGCAAAATTACTTCATTTTTATATCACAATCCAACAACATAAAAGACTTCAAGCTGACCGAAACTAAACAAAATCGACGAAAAAAAACATGTTTCGGTTATTACTGCGTAGATTTTTTTACGAATTCGCAATATCATTTGTAGGGTTGCATTATACGTTAGGAATGACGTACGACTTCAATATCACAATCAATTTGGGGTAATACTTCTAACGATAACCATATATTTATTTTGTATTTCAGATTTACTGACTTTTTATCTTTTCACTTATAAACATATGTAGATGTGGTCGACATTCTTAAAGGAATTGCGCGAATATTATTAAAATTGGATAAGATGGAATATTATAATATTTATTAAGTCGGGAAAACAATCTGAAATTTTCACAAGGCATGTGATTTATATTGGCGTAAAAGTGAAAATTTCATCGTGGTTTCAACCTGTGTTTCTCATTGACTATTATTGTATTTTAGTTCCACCAATTCCCTGGTATTCACCATTTTCACCTGTAACTCTATTATTACGTAACTATTTGTTGAATTCCTGGATATCGTGTGCGACTAGGTGATTTTTGCTAATTTATTTTGTAACATCTACCTAGATTGACTAGTTCCTGTTAAACTATGAGATTGGTGCCCATTGTCATTTTCCGCGTTGCATTGAATTTTAACATCTATCCAATGTTATTTATTCGAAATATGCTTACCAACTCTGCTTTTTCAACCATTTCACAGATTATATATTGACAGTAATTTTCGTATTTCCTGAAAAAAACGAAATACAATTTTCAGTCAAATCGATAAATTGCTAAGCATCGATAACCATCAGTAGCCTAAGAATCTAAGAAACAATTAATTCACAAGCTTATTTTCCGGTAGCTGTTTCACTGATAAACCATATTTAAATATTGGTAAGAAATTTCAGGAAATGAGTTGTCACAAGGAGAGAAGGAACAGCGCTTCGTTGGTTTACTGGCGATCATTCTGAAGTGTAAATAAAAACATTGCGACGTTTTTATCTGCCTTATCCGCATTTGTGTTATTGGGCCAGAAAACTTAGACCCATACAGGATTTATGATACAGTTTTGAATAATCTGGTATGCGGTTTTTTTTAAAATTACATTTAGGTAAAGTTCTTTTTTGTTTGTTGTTTTATTTTTATTTTTATTTTATTTATTTCAATCCGAGTATAGATGGGTTTTGTGCTAGTTTATTCCTTTTTTTTACCTGGCCTTGATTCAAACAGGCCGTTTATGGCCCAGCCTGGATCAGCCCGAAATGTTAATATCAGGTTGAGTTCTAGTTGGTCCAGTCCATGCATTAACTCGTACAGGATGATTCCGGGTCAGCTAGGTCGGAATTTAGATCACCAATTAAGTTATTATTAGGATTCCGAAATGCCGGGTACGGTACTAAACATAGTTCCGGTTCTCGTGCCCAGCGCTATTAAAGCGATGTCAATGACCAGCGTTTGTAGAACTCTAGCTATAACTCATTTATTAAGAATGCTATGAGGAGCTTGTTATATAAAGATTGGTATGCTTATTGCTTAATGCCACTTAATTCTGATGAATTTAGCTATAAAAAAATGGAATATCTGATTTTTTTATTTTTTTATTTTTTTTTGAGTAGCACTCTGAAAGGTTCGTTGGCTTTATAACATGGAACACTATCCTAAATATATACAATATTTTTTTACATGCAAGAAATGATTATTGTATGGTAGTCATATCGTATTGGTCTACTTTGATCTTCAAGATGCTATGAAGTCCGAAATTCGAAAAGGAGTAGGAGTAGCAAGAGCAAGTGTAATTTATGGTTTTACGTCAACTTCTACATACATCAAATAACGAAAAAAGAGCACTAAGGGATGTCACATATATGATTGAAATGGTCATCCAAAGTTTACAACCGCTTCAAGTACTGATTAGAGTATGTAGCATATCGAAAAATAATTGTTTGGGAGCATAGTTGATCGGGTGACTTTTTTTAGTATTTATAATTAACTCATCGATTTTCTAAATAACTGCTTATAGGTGGCTCGTTTGAAAATTACTGCTGTAATAAAGTCAAATTTTTATTGTGGTCAGTGTTGTCAGCTGGAATATTCCAG